CCCCCCGCCCCCTCCCCCGGCCCGTACGCCTTTGCATATGACCTTGAACATAAAATGAATCATCATAACCGCGTAAAATCACATCGCGGGCTTCGAGTTGATCGTTATTTGAGTCCACGTGATAACGCGAAACTTGTCACGTGTTTCCACTTAAATTTCTTTCGTTACTTGGAGATAGAAAATCGGTAAACAGGTAAGGAAGAATTCACGCTCGATGTGGAACCTACCCTATTATTCGTATAATTTTCACGCGTACACGATTTTGCAAAAATTCGGGAGCTGTATTTCACGAGTGCTAATTTTCGCGATTCCAGGAAAAAACTGTTCACAAGTAGATGTAACTTTGTCATCCATTGCTTTAATCTTGCAAATCCTGATTCGAGGACCCACAAGTGGCTTACAACTGAATGGAAATGTGATAACTGTACTGAAGAGGTGGATGTAGAAGCTGAAGATAACAGTGCATCGGAGGAAGACCACTAACTAGTTGAAAACAAGACCAAACCTGTATATTTTCATGGACAGAAATTGAACAACTACCAACGAGTCCGTGACTCAACATTAAAAATCCATGTTTTGTTTTCTTGCATAATCTGGTATTAAAAATTTCACGTGTTTAATTTTCGCGCTCCTTTTTCTCGCGATTTTCTTTTCTTTTCTTTTCTTTTTTTTTTCACGATCCCCACCTACTTAAAAAAAAAAAAATGGCGAAATTCAGTAGACTTGAAAATAAGCTAGCCAAAACAAATGGCCCTCGCCATAACAATGAACTGCAAAAGAAGACTGGCGTGTTATCCATGGTTTAAATTTATATTTGGTGAACGAAAACATATCTGCGACTGAGTTAATGCAACATTTTCCTCGGGCAGTTGTTATCACCATGGTAGCAACCTGGCGGGTACCAGTAAGATAATACAAGTTTACGTAGCAAGACATTTGATTAAGCTACCTTATTCATCTGATCCGGTGTAAGCGCAACTTACAGCAGACGGACTTCAGTGAATTAAAGGTAAGATGTTAAAGCTTGTTTGTACTCGTTATGTGTACAAGTGCTGAAGTTGATCAAAGAGTGCCCTAAAGAGATTTTTATGTCGGACGCCACGGTGTAAGTGTTAATCGGAAATTTAAATTTTCGACTGAGTCCAGTTTGGTATTGTTGAAGATGTGATTCCTGATCGTCTTTATCAAATTTACAAATGAGGAACGAACAACACGCTTTCATGTCTAACGAAATTTTCGTCAGTGTTTATTCAGTGTCGCTAAATTGGGAGACTTAAAAAGAAAATCAAAATAAACTCTGAACATTGCTGGTGGAAAAAGCGTCTTGCAATACTATCCCGGTTTACGTTTACGTTACGTTTAAGTTTGATACATACCACCTAGGTGTCAGTTGATTGATCAGAACGGTACGGAAGAAAAAAAAATTTTGGCTTTTTGACACCAGTCTACCGGCGACCGTTTAGAACGCGAACACAAGATGCACCAGTCTCCTCACCCTAGCTCCTTGATAGCCTCATCCCAGACTCTAAGTCTTCAATTTCTTATGGTCAGCAGCAACAGTCGCATTCATCTCTCTGAGCAGGAGCAGGAGGTCTGTATTGGAGGGTCGTGAGT